ATTTTCTATAGAGCGTAGAACATTGCAGATAGGGCAAAATAAAAAATAATCCAAAATATTATAGGAATGATTTATTAATAATATATACATTTATAGGTATTTATAGTAAAAATAATGAACAAACTGCAAGGTTCAACTAATAATGTTTTTTGTAAACACAATTGTAAAATTCCTGTTTTAATTTTTACCAATGGTTAATTGATAAAACGTAGTCAAGATCACTTCGTATAAAATATATTTAATTAAAATTGACACATGACCTATTTGGCCTTCTACTTACAACTCTGCGGAAATATGAAAAGAAGATTTTGTCTTTTCACACAAGTATTGTTTACAACTGGCGTGGTTTCGAAAAGCGTGATTAAGTGTCAGCGGTATATAATCAATTAAATACTGAACTTTTTTGAAATTTATTTTTTTGTTTATTTTTGTTATATCTTCTTAAAAACTGACGCCATCTCACTATTTTATTATTTGTTTTTTTTTGTAACGCATAAGGATAAGTTAGACTAAGTTAGATTAACCTGGATAAGTTTATAATTTTTTTTATTTTTATCACAAAATTTCCGCAATAAATTATTACCTTTTCTACAGTGATTCTCTCCTCTTAGTTTCGGCGTGACTGTAGGATGTTTTAGTGAGTCACCGTCAGTTACTAAGCGGCCATAAATCATTATATGTATGTATAGACATACATATATACATTTTTTGATTTTAATATTTATGTTTTTATGAATTTTGATTGATTTTTTGAAACCTGGTAAAATTATTTTTTTCTATACCAATTGATGGGCCTGAGTATAATGCCAGTTATGCTCTTTGGATGAAGTTATTTTTTATTTTATGCTCAATTGCAGACAAAACAATATTGATTGCGCATTTCTAAAACAAAATTTTACCTCTCCTTCTAATAATAGCTCCTGCACCTAACACGGCGGAATAGTTCTTATTATCTATAAGACCATTTGCGGAAACAGTTTTTGTTAACAGTTATGAGTGTAACATTTTATCAGCTGCTTTGTTTATAGTGCCTTGAGCAACACTTTTTTTGTACAGAAAATGATGAAAAATTTGCAAATATGGATGGCCGCTACCATTGAATATAATACCCGCTATGTTACACTTATTTACATAGAAACTTTAATTATCATTTGCATAAAATTCTAAATAGCACCTTTTACACAAGAAAGTAAACTTTTAGATCAGTCCATCTTGTTTTTCACTAATTAAAATGTAAAACAAACCAATAGGTCCGTGATTTAAAATTTCTTGCAACTTTTTATAGAAAAGCATGACCTTATCATAATATAAAAGTCAATCATTTAGCCATGTGATAAAACTTTTAAGTGTGCCAGTCAAACATTAATGATGATATTCGGGTCATTATACTGGAAATAGTCTTTTAAATATTTTGTAGTACAATCGATAATCTTCAGTATGATTGACCGTGTATATGACTTTTATAAGTCTATGTTATTTTTGATGAAAATTATTATTGCAGATAAAAGGCCTTTCACAGTTATTTTAGTCTCGAATTAAATTAATCAAAATGAAAATAATAACTTTGGCTCTTTATAACAGATCTTTAAATGTAAAACACTGACTTGAAATTATATAATTATTGGCATTTTTTTAATTCATTGAACTTTTTTAAGATTTTGTTGAAACTCTACTGGTAAAAAAAAACAAATATATATATATTATAGTTCTTGATGAAAATAATGTATGCTCGTTACATCGCATCCCATCAAGAATTTCTAATGTAATTCTTGGTGTAAAGCTAAGACGTGATAATAACTGTAAACAATAGAATAACAAAATAATGAAAAAATTTACATTTACATACACAACATTTACAAAAATACTTGCTTTATAACCTAATAAATATTATTTGACCGTAATAAAATAAAACAAGGTAGTCTTCGGCACGAAAGTAAAAATAAATATTTTCGATTATTTTTGCAATATCTAACAGCCGGATCAGCGCGCGATTCTGATCAATCTAAAGATGCTAAATTTCAGCAAGCACTGTCAAACTCAATAGGAGTGACAGAAAAAAACGGTTCTTGATATAGAAGGGTAAATAAATTATTTAATCTATAAAGTAAAATCACTTTATTAAAAATCAAATTAGTCCAATAGCTTTATTAACATGAGACACATAATTGTACGAGTGCTTACAATACTTAACATTATTTTACTGAAATCTCAGAAAGTTTTTTTTTAATAGAATAAGGTTGACAAACGAGCACACAGTCCACCTGATGGTACACTTACCATTTAGATGTGTATGGGCCGTAGCAACCACTTTGCTACGGCCCATACACATCTACATCTATTCTCGATTACATATCAAAATGTAGATGCGTTGTCACCCGTGAGGACTAAGATGTAATGCCTCGTTTCCAGTAAAAAGGTTTTCCAGTTCTCTACACTCACCATACGAAACACAGCAGGGTTAAGCTGCTATTTTACATGTTATTCCGTGGCCCTTCCCCGGTCAAGCCGACCCATTCGTGCTACAACTATACCTACTACTAATATAGCTACAGCATGGCTCTACCACGTAAGAAAAAATTGACGTTGAAAATGTAAGTATTTTTAGAAGCAACTTTGCAATTATTTTCTATTGAGTTAATTTTTGTGGAATCGTGTTTTTCAAACCGCCACCTGAAATACGTACAATTTTTTTTCGATAATGACGTGAAATTACAAAACGGTCCCCATGCATATCAATGTGGCTCTATTCAGCATCTTAATATGAAAATACCTCGGGATACAGAGATTTTAAAAGTTTTCATGCGTAGATAATGGAAGATATAATATTATATTATTACAGTCCCGTGTGAGGCAACCTTTATACTTATATACATGTTCTCATCATATTTTTATGGTTGGTTAGAAAAATTATATCTAAATGCAAACTTTCAAAGGGTAAATTTTTTTTTACTATTTTTACCCTGCAAGTAGTAAAGCAACTACAATCCCATCGGAAGCTAAGATGGTGAATTGCACTGACTTAACAAAAACCTATTCACTCTTGCCTAATAGTACTAGGTAAGTATTATTTGCGACCTATTCGTGTGTGTGTGTGTGTGTGTGTGTGTGTGTGTGTGTGTGTGTGTGTGTGTGTGTGTGTGTGTGTGTGTGTGTGTATGTGTGAAGAAAAGCGTATGAGAATACGTGAAGAGGAATAAAGGTTGAGTACTAATTCGCTTACCTGTACGAGGTTGCCACTCGAGGACCTTTTATTCCTATTTTTTATCTGTTTTCCAAGTTATATAGCCAGCCCATTGCCATTTCACTGTAATATTCCGTTGGGCTATGTCAGTTACTCTGGTTCTAATGCAAATATCTTCATTTCTAACTTTATCGCGTAGAGAAACCCCTCTCCAATTTAAAATTTTTACATTTTTTAGATGATAGTTTGTCTAACATAAAAAAAAAACCATAAACCCAAGAATGCCTTTATATAGTTATTTATACTTAGGGAAGCACCATTCTTTTATTTATTTAAATTGTTTGATTTAATTTGATATCAGTGTACATAAATGTAAGTATCTGTATCTTTATTTCCCTCCCCAATAATATTTTATAAAGTCATACTGATAAAAACAGCTAATACATAATTATAAAATTCAGTATCAACTAATTAACAAAAATATGCAATAATAAAATTACATAGGTATTAAAAACTATCGAAATCTAAGTAACGAGACCATGTTCGTCGTTCCACATCTAAATTATATAAAAATGCATTTTTCAATTTCACTAATCAACGTCGCCTCGAAAATTTCTTCTTCTTTGGGCACTTTAAAAATTCATTTATTTAGAAAATAATATTTACAGTTACCAGTGTACAGATATTAACTAAATTAAGTATTTATAGTCATAAAAATATTTCTAATTGAGTAGAAACTTATAAAAAACTAATATATATTTGAACGAAGTCGCTCCAACACCGACGTGCGGTCCACCCTCGACAATGTCCGAAAACGGACTGTGACAGAGCTTACATGGCGACGGAGCATGCGCACTCACGTAAATATATTCAATTTCAGGGAAAAATTATATATTCTCTTATAAAACGGGGAATAAAAATAAAACTCTCAATTAAAAATATTAATATTTTTAAGACCTTTTTTTTAGTGTAGGAACTATTTAAAAAGCTTGTGCCGTTTTGGAGAAATTTTGCAAAATATGACAAAGATAGGTACTCTTTGGGGATTTTTTTTCTAATAAGGGGTTGACAAAAATACAATTTTGTTAAATTAAAAACATTTACCAAATCCTTTTCTGTTACCCCGTATTTTTTCTTTGTGGATTAAATGAACAGTTATTGAGATTTTTTTACTTAAATATCCAAGATTTAGGCATTTCAACGACTGTTAAGGCCTTAAGATGGTTCTCCTTGTACTCTACACTCCATAGTTGGCAGGATTGGTCACTCTGCTACTTGTCAATTCAATTTTAATTGGAGTTTTTGCGGGAACTTGGCCGGCGGTGGTTTGCTGCTCCTGTATTATAGTTTAAATAATAGTTTGAAGTGGATTTTGATATGTAAAAGTGGTGCGATTTTATGTCTTACTGTCTACGCATGTGAAATATTAGTAGAAACGGTGAAACTAGTGCTCTGATGGTGATGGATTCTCAAGATAAGTTGTTTGTTTGCATAGGCGCCTTTAGATACCATCGCCAACTGTCAGCTATCTGCTGGCTCAAGTTGCCGTTAAAATCTCCCAAGGGCTGCACAATGTGACGCATCAACATATTGTGAAGCAGTGAACCATGAAGGATAACTATACATAAAGAGAAGGCTGTATGGGATAGTTCCTTTGCTTGCTTTCTCGAGCAAATAATAAAAACAACAACTACAATTTTAATTGTCATTTGTCAATTTGACATTTTCAAAGTCATTATTGTTGAACTGCTTGACTTGAGGTTGACGCTATTTCTAGTTACATTTTCAAATTACTTGTTGACTTGTAGTTAGAACGAAAATGGTAAGTAAATCCGTATAATAATTGTATAATTTTTAATCGATATCTGGTATAAGTACTTTATTTCCAAACAGTAATATAGAGATGACCAAATTTATATATTATCAACACCGTTTACCGGATGACTTGTAGTTTTACTGTTCAAATGATCTGTGCCTGCATCGTACTACAATTTGCACAATTTTTCTGATGTTGAAGTACTACATCGTTTTCACGAGTTTCTTAAATAGGACGATTAGCAACAACTTATTTTATTCTAGGGTTTTAAGTTAACCTAAAAAAAATTTCAAGTCCGAAACTAGTTACATTAAGCTTAGAACAAAATAATAAATAGCAGAGTAGTACCATTCAGCGTGCAGTCATGCAGAAGTATGTAATAATAAAAGTTAAAAAAACCTATTAATAAATATAGTCTTAATAATATGTTTTAAAGTTTTAAATTATATTAAGTAGAAAACAGACAGGTGACCCAACATAAGATCCGGTTTTGAAATTTTATATTCAATTCATAAAAAGTAAAAAAAAACCTATTTTTATTTATATGTAAATAATATACCACTCCTTTTTATTACAGTTCCGTAATCAGTATGATAGTGATGTCACTGTTTGGAGCCCTCAGGGTCGTCTCCATCAGGTGGAGTATGCAATGGAGGCTGTAAAGCTAGGGTCTGCCACTGTAGCCTTAAAAAACAAACAATTTGCCGTATTAATTGCTCTGAAAAGAGCAGTGAGTGAACTGTCAGCATATCAGAAAAAGATCATACCTATTGATGATCATATTGGTATATCTATTTCGGGTTTGACTGCCGATGCTCGTATGTTGAGGTTAGTACTGTATACATACGTAATTTAATAGTCACAATGATCTTTACTTGAAGATAGAGATATGAGCATCTTGTATGAGAAGGAATGGGAAACTTAAGCAAAAGACTGATTAAGATGAATGAAGAGAAGAGAAGCCTTTGCTCAGTATTGATATTGTAGAAACTAACATAATAATAGCTTTCTTTCCCTTTCTCAATAACCCTAGGCTATTTGGTATTCCCTAGGAAGGGCTTTAATCTGGGGAGGGTTTTTATTTATTTTACTATATTTTATGTAATACATTACATTCATCATATAATTTAATTTATTTACCATTTTTATATGTATATTTGGCTAGCCTGGAACTAAAGTGGTCTATGATACTTTTTAAAATTAACATTTTAGAGATAACGAACGAAACATGTTTGAAATCACTGTGTGCTTATGAATGTATGTTATATTGATAACTTAGCTATTAATATGTAATTTTAGTGATCAGTATCAGAGCATAGTAAACAACAAAAAAAAAAATTGTGAAAATAAGTAAAATTTGTTTGTAGACCACTTTGGATTTATCGAAATTTAGAAAACCTTAAATTGCTTAAGGGGAATAAATGATTAAAAAAAGCTTGTACGAAATTAAAAAATTTAATCAAAATAATCATTGTTAATAATTAACATTTCTATTGTGCTTTGTTAATTAATCACTATCATCACATTTGGCATCATCACCACAAAGTGCTGGCAGAAAATCTTGTAATTAATTTTCAATCTCACTTCTGCGATTTTTATGTGGAAGGTTCAGGTAAAAAGAGTGATAAACGGGTGGCACAAATTTTAGCATTTTCTTAATATCCTGCATTTTCTTGAATGACAATGCACGGGTATCACAGTCATTATTTGGTATGAAATTCTGCAAAAAAAAAATAACTAAGAACTCTTTTAAGTTTGCAGTAGGTTTCTTTAGATCAACTGATTTATATGTTTCAGAATAATCATTATTGTAAAGCATCTCAGATTGATTTCTTACAAATTTGGCTTTCCTTGTCCTCGAAATCATAGCACCATCGGCCACTAAGTTCTAATATTCCTTGAACATTGGCTGTAGTTCATCAAATGACACAAAATTTCCCACCATGTTATTAACACCACAGGGATTATGTTTTCTACAGTTTTTTATTAATTCTTGCCACTCATTTGGTGTATATACATGACATTTTTTTTGAGCTCTACTTATGAATGAGAAATCTCCATCATCAGCCCGAAACGAGATAATGAACATAAATTTCACTAATGTTAGGTAAAGCATTTACCATAAACATCACAAAAAACATGGCATTCCAGTTACGGTTTTGCCTACCGCAACAGTCGCTAAATTATAAATTTAGCCTTGTAGCTTGGTCAGGAAGATGGTTCTTAAAGTAAAAATACAAATACAATGTAACTTCTTGAGATCCTCTCGCTCCTGTAGTCTCATACCATAAGTCCATTAAAACTTATTCACCATCATGCTGGTAAGCATGTATACCAATATTAAACATGTTTAGTTGCCTCAAGTAATATACTTCTCCTGTATTTTAATCCAGAAGTGGAAGGGTCCTTTCTAGGTCGAAAGTAATCAATACTTCTGTACTCTGAGATATAAGACTAGCTTCAAATCAAATCAAATTATTTATTCATTTTCACAGGTATTAAAGTTGACAATATTATAATTTTAAGTATCTCAGTGAAATGCTTTTACAGCATACGAATGTATATGTGTATTCACACATTATAAAATTAAACATAAATGAAGAAATCAAAATAACAGTTAAATTAAGTAAACAAAGTCAGAAATACAAAATTATTAAATTACATATTATTTAAATCATTAGTAAATAGGAATTAATTGACATTATAATAACATTAATTTATAAGAAAATTACTTAGAGTACGTTGAAATTTTTGCACATTATAACATTTTATGTGATCAGGTAATTTATTATATAATTTAGGGGCCATTTCCACAACACTTTTTTTCATAAGGGCAGTTTTACATACATTTGTCTGGATTTTTTGTTTACTTATTTATTTGCTACCTTGAGGAACGCCATGCTTTATCGTTCTATTAGACTTATATATTTTTTCTTGCTTAGTAGAGATACAGATCTGACTGATTACAGTTTTTTGTGTTCTACCTGTTAAATAAGATTTTATTAAGTTCAGTCCATTACCTCTTATACCATAACGGCTTAGTTTTTCCAGCAATATATTATGGTCTACATGGTCAAATGCCTTTGTCAAAAATGTGTAAAGCTGACCATGAATGATTTTTTCAAATATTTTTGAGAAAATTGAAAGTAATGTAATTGGACGGAATTGAATAATTATTATTGGGAATGGATTGAATAATTATTATTGGGAATTTGTTTATCACCTTTTTAAAAAATGGCTTTACTACGACTGGTTTTAAATTGTTTGGGAATATACCTGTAGTAAAGCTTAAATTTATAATATGACTCAAAGGTCTTGCTATTGTATAGCTAACATGTTTTATTACTCTTGTACAAACGTCGTCAAAACCAACACTATTAGTAATTTTTAGACTATTTATAATTTTAGCTTGTTTATACATATTTAAAATCTCTTGCTTTTTACCCAGATTTTTATGTGTATCAAATTATTGTCTGATTCTATCTGATCTGTCTCCATAATGGCTTCTATATTTAGGAAAAGAATGTATGTGCTCTCTAATCCACCCCAGTTTATCCTCATTCACCTTATTTCCTGCTATTTTACATACTCTCTGATCTATTGTTGGAATATTAGTGTTAGATGTTGCTTGTTTTACTTGCAAAGTGTAATCTATGAGATAATTACTGATTCGCATTTAATTTGGAGTTGTAACATGTGAGTTGTGGAGGATAAAGTAGTGAGTGTGTTGGTTGCGGCTTGGCGCATTTTGATTCTGAGATTACTGCACTACACAACCAAACAGTTGGACTATCCCTAAATTATAAAATGAATGATGGTTATCTTTTTGAATAGTGGTGGCCTTTTCACTGCACTTCGTCGACACATACATTCTACAGCTGAAAATAACTTGGAACAGTATTTCCTCTCGTATTTACATACTCCTTCCTAGTAGATTCTTTTAATTTTCTTATATTTGGGTCATGCCTAACATGAGTATCCTCTGATTACTCACTGGGAAGTCTCAGTATTATGTTGTTGACAAGATTACCGAAATAAACATATTATTATTATATTTTTCTTGAATGATTTGATACAATTGCTGGTCTGGTCTCAATGCTGTCACACAAGTGTTGCATATTATCAAATTGTATTATGCTGTTATGTATTGAATTTACTACTGTCTTTGAAAATAAAAATAAAATTATCTAAAATCTAAAACAAAACTAGCAAATAAGTCTATTTGGTTAATATACACACACCTTCAATATCACTCAAATTACTATCAGGAATATTAGGCACATACAAATCACCATCACTAGTAGAGCTGTAATCGGCTTCAGTCCCTCTCTTCGTAATTTTTTAATGTGGCACCTCGGAGTCTAGAAATAATTCTAGTCTATCCATCAGAAGTAGTTGGTTCATCTACAAAGTTTTGTCCACCATCTGAAGCCATTTTAACGGTGTGCAACTATTTTAAGGTCTAGTCACAATCAAAGTCAGAGTTGACTGACAAAATTACGAAAATATTTACATCATAACAATATTACAGGCAGCGCGGCAGCAACATGACAGTAGCAAGTGTTACCAGTTTTAAAAAAATGAATGGTAAAGGCCATATTAGTAGTAATATTCTTTATCGTTATAATATTGACGATTTTGTATAATTAAATCTCTGTTAGCTTACTTTTTCTAATTCACCACTTTAGAATTTACAAACTTATTAGACCAAAGTGGTCTATGTAACTGAGAAACTGAGACGTGTCACTAAGGCCAGTTTAGTTTTGACAAATTTACATAACATAGACCTGCTATGTTAAATACAGTTAGACACCTTAGAAAAAAAAAGAAAATATCAATAAATTCTAAAGTGGTAATCTAGTGGTCGTCTTATTTTGGTGATGAAATAACTTGTAGATCACTTTTGCCCTGATTTATTTCTTTTTATATTCAAAAATGCTTACAGATGAATTTAGCTAAAAATGTGACATAGACCACTTGAGTTCCAGGCTAGTCTAACATAATATATACATTTTATATATTATTTATTCTTAACAAGAGAATAATACTACAAAATAATAATATGATATATACCATAGAAATAATTAAACTTCTGTTCTCATGAACATTTTATATATTTTATAGCTATTAGACATCTAGAGCTTATTAAAAGGCTGGCAACGCATCAACTCCCCTGGTGTTGCAAATGTTCATGGGTAGCAGTAGTCACTTACCATCAGGTGGGCCCCGTTTGCCCCCTCTTATGATTATTATATATTATGATTTCAGTCGTTTCATGAGGACAGAATGTCTTAATCATCGATATGCTCATGATGCAGCAATGCCTGTTGGAAGACTTATTGCCCTAGTGGGTAATAAAATGCAGATCTGTACTCAGAGGTATGACAAGAGGCCTTTGGGAGTTGGATTACTTGTTGCTGGATATGATGTAAGTGTTAAAGACAGATTTTAATTGTCTTAATCAAAGAGTATTTGATATACTAAAAAAAGATACTTATTACTTTATAACTTTATTTATAGAATAAATGTGACAAATGAACACACAACGCACATGATGGAAATTGGATGCACTGGCCTGAAGACACCTACATCTATTCTTGATTGAGAAACAAAATGTAGGTGTGATGCCTCAGGGCATTAAATTTGACTTAAATAGAATGCCTCGATACCAGTTCTCTTCATTCACCATACAAAACACAGCGGCATAAGCTGCTATTTCATGCTGGTAATCTGTTAGAGTGTGACACTTCTCTGGTCAAGCCATCAATTTGTGCTGCAGCCATAAAATAATTAGACAGTGGAGGTGCAGTACTTTGTGATACCCTCCTTTTCTTATAAATTAAAAACAAAATATTTTGAGGACATGTAAAATCTGCCAACACATTGGGGGGCAGCACTCTGAGGCCTGTGCTGAAAATACTCCCATAGGTGAGAGAAGTTCAAGGCCAACAATGAAATAATAGTGCATCTGCTATTATAATTTTTTTTTATTTCACTAATATTAATGAAATCTGAAAAAATATGTATCTTGATTTCAGCTAAAGGATATGTATTTTTTTTAAATTTATGATGATAGTGTAGCGATTTGATGGGTTCAGTGGATTTCATGTATTTATGCAAACACTTACATTAAATGAAACTAATTTTACGGATTGTATTGTGCTCAATTTTAACTTTTTGATTCCATATGTCAGAGGAGTCACAGAAAAGATTTCAAGTGTAATATCCCTCGATGAGATGCAGGAGTGTACAAACTTGATAGTGAATGTGATCGCTCTTACGTAGCACAAATAAAAAGACCTATAAAACCCCGCGTAAAAGAACATATAGCTGACGTTAAGCACCGATGGTCCAGGAAGTCTGCAGTCTGTAAATATGTTCAAGATCGACCCTACCATTATTAGATGTGATAGACCACAAATCCTCGCAAAAGTACACCGATTCTTACCAAGGATGATTTGCGAGGCTATTGAAATTAATAACATCCTAGTTTCGATAAACAAGATGGATGTGTGCTACCATCTGCTTCGGATATTATAATTAATAAAATTAAATCCAAACCCAAGAATACCACTGCTAGATTCAAAATATTGTAAGCTCATTCTGCGTAGATCGGACCAAAAATTAATATTTATAAACTGAAGGTAGCCAGGCTAACTATGACATGAGGACGTCAAATACCTTTGTGCCCCCCGTGACCATGGCTGCTCTAAAGCACCCGAAGCGTCGGGAATTCAAAAGTTAAATACCGTTTAATTAGTATCATTTAATGGGTTCAGAGGAGTTAGGATTTTGCTTTGTGGCAATTTACGAAATAGGACTGGAAGGACTATACTTTATAGGTTTGCTGATCCATCTCAAACTTGCAGACCGTGCCGGAATAAATAGATAAAATATATTATACATCAATTGTTGAGTGCTAGTGGCTTAGCATAGAGGGGAGGCTCTATTAGGCTCTCTCTATACAAGGCTCAGGACCTTTGTGGCAATCTATGGGGAAGGCCTATGTTCAGCACTGGGCTTGATACGGGATGGAGTAGTGATGGTAATAGTAGTGGATGTCTTTGTGGTATTTCATATGAAGTTCTGCATTCACAGTTTATTGCATTATGTTAAAGATAAAAAATATCTTAAGCCGCGTATCGATTACACGCTCCTGGCGCGCGCGCCTACTAGTGTGTTCGGTCGAACGCGGTTCAAATGTTCGAAGTGTATCAACTAAGCGCGTCTGGCGGGCGCGGCAGCCGTTCCAATAGTTTGACCGTTCAACATGGATGTTGGTCGTGTACGAACAGGCTGCCGCTTTCATAGTTCAATGCATTTTCTCCGAGCGCTTTATTATGATAAAAACGACTTTTGCTATTCCGCAACAGTTATTTTGAACCATATAATTTGATCAATTTACGGCAACTCTGGTTATCCGTAGCTCGGAACGCAACGAACACACGAATGATGAAAACAACCGTCCCAACTGGCGCGCGCGACATTACTTAACTACTTAGATATGCGGTAAAAAATCGACACCAGATGGAGCGGCCCGCTTCACGCTTGAGCGTTCCAACGAACAATTTGGCGCGCGTTCCAAGGCGGTATCCATTTCGCGCAGCTGGAACGTGCGCCAATGTTTGACCTCTTGGAGTGCATAATCGATACGCGGCTTTACTCTATATGGCTATATTTTTTATCTCTGCTGCTGCACTTTTTGACCGTCGTGTGTATTATAAATATTGCATATAAACATTTTTGGTATCTGTCAAAGACAAAGTTCTTTTTTGTCATTTATCACAGTGACTTAGAGCAGAGATAGTGTGATGGATATGAATTTGGAGTAGAACAAAATAACAACAATTTTTTTCAAACTCAAATTCCAGGATCAAGGCCCTCACATCTATCAGACATGCCCCTCGGCGAATTTCTTCGACTGTCGAGCGATGGCCATCGGGGCACGTTCTCAATCAGCTCGCACATATCTCGAGAAACACCTGTCAACCTTCATGGACTGTGATCTGCAAGAGCTAGTGGCACATGGTCTAAGGGCTTTGAGGGATACACTACCAAACGAATCTGAACTTAACACTAAGGTAAATATGTCACTGTAATGAAAACTCTTTGATTGTTAGGAAAACTATGCTTGAAGCTGTTGATGAGTATATTTATCTAGGCCAAATTGTCCAACTAGGTAAGTCAAACTTCAACCGAGATACCACTCGATTACAATTTATCAATCAAATTCAACCTGGCTGGGCAGCATTCAGGAGGTTCATCTTTCCTCCGCGGATTCCGCTATACTTAAAAAATTGGAACCAGTGGTGCTACAACCAGTATAACTGTCAACACGATATTGATCTGCGAAGGGATCATTCACTGCTAGCCATATTCACTACGTGGAATTTAAATGGTTACCAAATAATATTTAAATTTTTGCGTGCTTAAAATTTATAATGTACATAAACTAATTATGATTATGTCATAATTATTTTTATTTCATATTATTATTATATGGTTTGAGAAGAAAGTTTGGATTTATTGTAGTTGTTATTAGATATGAGCGCCGAAGGGCAAATCCACGGCGGCGGCGTGGCCTGAAAATTTTCTCTGCGGTGGCGGCGTCGCGGCGGCGCGGCGTGGCTAGCCATAGGCCTTAGATATTGTTTTATCAAGAAGAGATTTCTTTAAAAAAACTTAACCAAAACTATATTGTTTGTACCAAAAACAGCTTTATATTTTTAAATAAAGCCCTGGGGAGCCCCAGCCCAGTGATGGGAACAGTATTCCATGTGAGGTCGAACCTGCGCCTTGTAAAGTTGCAGGCGGTGTGCCGGCATGAAATACTGTCCCGCTCCGCTGAGTACGCAATGCGTTTTAGAGGCCAATTTGACTTTCTCTTCCAAGTGATCACGAAACTTGCACGTGACTCGATATGTCGAAATGATCGAAAGACCTTCGCAATGTCCAAACTAACGGCCAATGCCTCCCCTTGGACTCTTATGCCTCCGCTTATCTATGAGTCAGGCACCAGCTGACCGACCCCGACGAAAACCGTACTGGCGGTCGCTAATTAGCTGGTGATCCTCAAGATACCGCATGAGCTGGCAGTTTATAATCGATTCCATTATTTTGGAGAACAAGGTGATGGCGATAGGCATAGCTAGACGGGTCTGAGCGGTCGCCTTTTTTAGCCAGCCTGCAGAATACAATCGCGATGTTAGTGTGAGTGGCACCACACTCCGGACTTGACAATGATCTGAGGAGCCAAGAGGGGAGTGGACGGAGACCTGATATCTATCTGAATGAGAGGTCAGCAGAAGGTCCAATAGGGAAGGTTGATCTTCAACATCTGGAATCCGCGTAGGCGAAGTTACCAGTTGTGTACACATAAAAAAAAACATATATTCAAATTGAATACCGTCTCTTTTTTGAAGTCGGTAGAAAATGGAACTTGCCCCCTGAGCACGCCACCGCTTAAGGTCGTGTGTGGAGATGGCTATTTTCAGTCTTTCCGCGTAATAGAATTCATAATGGGGATATCTGCAGTAGAACCAGAGTAAGAATATGTGTGTTACCTCATAACTTTTTACTGGGTGAACCGATTTCGATGATTCTTTTTTTATTTGAAAGCAAATTGTTAACTGGCTTATATTCTATCTTTTTTGTGTGTAGAATTGACGAAAATGTAGATGTATTTTTTTTGTATATGTATGTTTTTGCACACATAATATCTTCTCTGTTTATCTTGGAGGTAAACTTGTTGAAAATGCCTTGTGGCACTAAGTCCGCCTTTTTGTACTGGGTGTGCAAATAAAGCTTAAATAAATAAATAACAAAGTGGTAAAATTAAAAAAATTTGTACAACCGACTTCAATATAAATAAAATGAGAGCATCATCAATGTAGTCAAAGTCAATTAAATACGCATTATTAAGGATAACTCAAAAACGAATGGTCAGATCTTGATCAAATTTATATGGGACCTCATGAGAACCTGCTTTCAAATAAAAAATAGAATCATCAAAATCGGTTCACCTAGAAAAAAGTTCTGAAGTAACATATAAAAAATACAGTTGAATTGAAAACCTCCTCCTTTTTTAATTTGGTTGAAAAAAAAAACTATAAGTGTAGAGCTATAACTTCATCAAATGCTTAAAAATTTTAAGCATTCATTGAAGTTTGATGTATTTTTTATTAATTGTTCTTCAGTTGTCATATCTTTGACCTCTTTCTTTTACAAATGCGACCTCATTCCCTTTATCAATATGAATTTTGTGATAATTTTATGTTTTTAATTATTTACAGAATGTGTCTATAGCAATAGTGGGTCCTAAAACACCACTTCGTGTGTGTGATGAAGCAGAGCTGACTCGATTTTTGGCCCTGGTGGAGGGAGAGGAGAGGCGTGGTGGAAGCGGCAGTGCAACAGGTGATGCTGGACCAGCTCCTGACAGAGCCCCGGGGGACGACAGAGACCCTCAAGTAGCGGTGAGTGTGGAATTGATTTCCTAGGCTTTTTGGGCCATTGTACGAAAAAGGTTTCAACAGCAAAGTATATATTACTCTATGCAAAGTTAATCACACACTTACTTGTACAATAGGTATATTAATTAATACTAATTAGATAGAAAATATAAAATACTTAGACATGTTTTACTGAAATTCATTGACCTTCTTATTTATGTAATTTTTGCAAAGATAAATAAACAGGTAGTTACTGTTTAGCTTACATTTTTTAAATTTTGATGGTTAAGACATAAATAATTGCAGGTATGTTAAATACCAACACACAGAGGATTACTTTCAAACTTGTTGTTGATGTAATTTAACCATGTCTCAGAATATCCACTACCCCGCATCTTTTGGCGGGTGTCGAAAGCGGCGATAGAGGGAAATTAAAAAGCAAATGGAGCATCTTACTGATAACTCAAAATTATATAAACTGTGAAATCCTACCCGTGTGCCAAGCGTGGCAATTATGGCAAAATCCACCCTAAAATTTGTACGTTGTAAGGAATAATGGAAAGAGGTGTGAATTGCAAAAAATTTCAAATATCAATTAAAAAAATATCAAAAAATAATATTTATAATCGTTGAATGTCGATTTTCACTCTTTTATGCTTTTGGCTAAGAGTTTTTTTTTTACAACAGTATTGAAATAATATGCAATTCATGATATTGTGCGTTCTAAACACTAATTTCACCGTTTTGTGTATCGACTCCGTGGCGCAACGGTAGCGCGTCTGACTCCAGATCAGAAGGTTGCGTGTTCAAATCACGTCGGGGTCACAACTTTTTTGCAATGTTTTTATTCGTATTTTTATTAATACACAACATGGTTAAAAATTTCTAAAAGTATAATTGACGTAGTTTATGATATTCAATTTTTTTTTTAAATAAATTTTCCTCGTAAACTTTTATCAATGTCAATATTTTCGGTATTAATTTTTAGTATAATTTTTCAAATTTCAAATTCAAATTCAAATTCATTTATTTGCATAATACATGTATAAAAGGTGTTACAGAAAATTATAATATGTACATTGTATTATTACCTTATGAGGTGTGCAAATACAATAAATGTTTTGTCTTAAAGACATACAAATATGATTGAGTGTTCTTTTGAAAAATCATGCCATAAGATAAAATAGAATAGACATAATTGAAATTGGCATACTAATGAAAATTCTACATTTATAAAATTAAATTGATTACAATAACAAAAAAATGATAATATTCAATAAAAATTACTAGTCAAAATTGTCATTCAAGAACTCATCAATTTTATAATAACATTTGTTTATTAATAAGTCATTCAGCACCTTTTTAAATTTATATAAGGTCATATTTTTTATTGAATCTGGTAGTTTATTATAAATTTGTGGGGCAATACCAAAGAAGCTTTTTTTCATTAATGATGTTTTACATTTTATGTAACATAACCTATTTATGTAGTGGGTACGTATTGGATTCTTTCTAATATCAGATATTTTTTGGAAAAGAAAGGGATGCTTTTTTACAAAAATAGCTGTTTCCAGTATATACAATGACGGCAGTGTTAGGATTTTTAAGTATTTAAAATAAGGAAAACAGCTATCTGTTACTTTGAGACCACACATTGATCTTACACATCGTTTTTGCATCCTAAATACAAGCTCCCTATCAGAAGACTGTCCCCAGAAAATGATGCCATATCGTAAAACGGAAGCAACTAGTCCATGGTATGCTATCAAAAGAGCCTGGCTGTTAACCTTTTTTGAAAGTTGAGAAAGCGCATATGCGGATTTGCTGAGTCGTTTGCATAGATCCTCAACATGAGGCTTCCAAGTGAGATGATTATCAATCACTATACCTAAAAACTTCGCCATATTTGCTTCTTCAATATTAAAGCCTTGGTAGGAGATGTTAATGTTTGGGTTTTCACGGCGTTGATGGAAGTGCATAACTTTTGTTTTATTTAAATTTATTTTTAAATTATTATTATTAAGCCACTCTATAATTTCGCGTAAACAGGTATTTATATCACTTTCATAATTAATTTCATTTGCACACTTTATTATAGCTGTACTGTCATCTGCAAAGAGAACCATTTTGTGTGACGTTATTTTTGGTAGATCGTTTATATATATTAAAAAGAGTAGTGGCCCTAGTACGCTACCTTGTGGAACCCCATATTTGATGTGCCTTGGTTTCGATAAATATGTATTTTCTAATTTACTCTTTGGACATATTCTAGAAATTTCTGTGCATTGGATTCTATTACTTAGGTACGATTCTAAGAGCTGAAGAATATTTCCTCTTATACCATAGCCATGTAATTTATTTAACAAGATCTTGTGGTCCACATAATCAAAAGCCTTGGTCATGTCAGTATAAATGGCACAGACTGGATTTCTCTTATCTATAGATGTCATAATATTAGCTAGTAAGTCATACAGTGCCACAATGATATTAGTATTTTTTCGGAACCCCTTTTGCTCTGTACAAAATAATTTATACTTTTCGAAATAGGTGTATAAAGAGTTATAAATTACTTTTTCAAAAACTTTTGAGAATATAGGAATTTTTGCAATAGGTCTGTAATTTTTTAAATCTGTTTTGTCATCTTTTTTATATAGGGGTTTAATAATAACTTTTTTCAATTTTTTTGGAAATATGCCATCAGTAATACTTAAGTTAATTATATGTGCTAATGGTGGGGCTATTACTTCCTTGGTGTATTTAATCACTTTTGTAGACAATCCATCATATCCAACAGTGTTCGTGTTTTTTAGACCACAAATTATTCTTGTTATGTCATTAATTGATACAGGTTCCATAAATAGTGAATTCAATGTCAAATTTTTAAAACTAATACTATTCAATGTGATGTCAGCGTTTACATTATTTTCAATTTCATCAATAAAATAATTGTTAAATGCATTTGCAATCGCCATGGGGTGTGTAAAAGACAAATTTTCTTTTTTTATATACATTATAGGCTCCTGTGGCAAACACAATTTTGATTTGTTTATTATTTGCCAAGTAGCTTTAGATTTATTTTGAGAGGTTTTTATAAAATGGTTATTTCGCACTTTTTGGGTTAGCTTGATAATTTTCCTATAGAGTTTGGTGTAGTTTTTAAAAGCTATTTTATTCTTTGCGTCAGGATTTAATCTGTATGCCCAGAGTAAGTGCCTTTGTTTCTTACTGCATATTTTTATTCCATGAGATAGCCATTTCGTTGCTTTGTTAGTCTTTATAGTTATAATTTTCTCCGGAAAACATAATCTATAAAACAGAGAAAAATCATTCATAAAATTGTTAAAAGCTTCGTTTGCATTATTGGCATTGTATACTTGTGTGAAAGATAAGCAGCTTAGATGAGTTTTAAAATTAATTAAATTTTCAATGGATATGTCCTGCTTTTTAGTTTTCCAAAATTTTATTTTGAAAGTTTTATTAATTGGCACTTGGAGTATTTGAGACGTATGATCCGAAAGAACTAGATCTACAACTTCTGTTTTGCATTCCTTTCGGTAATTGTGTGCAAAATTGTCGATACAGGTGTGACTACTTAATCTAGTGGGTGTATAAAGTGCTAATTTTAAGTTGTATTGCATGAGAAAGTATTCAAACTCCAATGTAGTTTTGTTCCTTTTTAGTACATCAATATTAAAATCTCCACACAAGACGATATTTTTTTTATTTGAAGATAGGCAAAATGTTCTTAATATAATGTCTAATTTTTCATAAAATACTGCATAATTATGTTTAGGAATTCTATATATACAGATAATAATAATTTTGTGAGCTATTATTTCTACCGCACAGCATTCGAAAACACCCGAAACTGATTGCTTTGCTATATCTGATAATTCTCTATACTGTAATCCTACTCTTACAAAAATACATGTTCCTCCTCGCTTAGTATTTCTCGAAAAGAAAGCAGCTGGGCAGAAATTTGATATGTGTAATAAATCCTCGTGACCCGTTTTAATAAAATGTTCTGTAACACAGATAACATCTATAATGATGCCCTTGTTAAATAGTTCTTCTAATTTTACAGTTAGTGTATCCGATTTACTCATTAGCCCTGCTATATTTTGATGAAGTATGTTAAGGTAGTTAAAGAAAAAATTGAGATTTTTTTTGTTGTGAGTCAGTAGGCAATATGTTTTGGTTTTGAAGAAAGCAGTCAGCCTCTGGGTACATAGTATTTAGGTTACTCAGGTCAAGAATTAAATCTTGCAGATCTGATATAACAATTTTCAAACCATAGTTATTTAAAGTTCCATAACGTTTGCTATACGTATTATGGTCATAAGGTAGATTAAGATTTGAGTCTAAGATATATGCATAATTATAAGAACCAATATCCATGTAAAGCAGGTTATTAAAGGTTTCTATACGGCTGTTAAACATTACGTTAGTATTTTTCATATATTTAAAAGTTGGTAAGCATATTATAAAATTTGTGTGATTTAAAGGTAATAATTTTTCTCTGATAAACATGACTAGTTCTATATAATTATGCGTTGTCCGAAAATCTTCTTCACCAATATAAACAACACAATAGTCAGACAGCGTAAAGTTTTGTACTTTGCCTTCAATTTTATCTAAAATTTGCTTCAATCCACATTTAGGTTTACGATAGTGACAAATTTCATAATTACGTAGATTAGTTCTCTCAGCAATAGTGTATATTCTGTTAGATGTTTCACCGCTTATTAAACAAATTTTGTGTTTAGTGGACGGATGTTCTATTGTTGTGCCCTGTATATCATTAGTTGTGTTGGTCGAGCCTGTATTGCTGCTAGTGATTTTAGTTTTATAGTCAATCGTAGATAAGGAGCAGTCATTTCCGATGATCTCAGTTGTTTGCGTTTGTTTTGATTTTGTTTGCTTATTTTCATTTTTCTTTGGTGTTGTCATTTTAATTTTTGCAGGACTATTGACTATTTTTTTGTATATGTTATTTTTCTTATTAAATTCTTCATTACTTTTCTTTAAATTACTGTTTTCTAATGATAAAAATTCAATTTCTTTATGTGCACTATTTAGTTGTGATGTTAGTCTTTCGATCTCCTTTTTTAATATTTTTATTTGATCTTCGTCTTCAGAAATATCTGGTAAACTACTTGCTGTACAATTTAAAGTTTGTGAAATAATATCGCTTTCATCGTCATTCGATTCCGATCGTGTTCGGGTGCGCCGGAACGTTATATTCTCCAAGAAATTCATTATGCGTATACAATTAAACTATTAAAAAGAATATGGACTAGTATGATACGAACCCGCGTCTATAAGATTATTAGGCGGGCAATCACACCGTAAGGCCAAACGGATTTGTTTAAAAGAGATCAAATTGGCACTTATATTCTGGCCATAAGATGTGACGGAGTTACTGTTTCATGTGAGTTACCGTACACTACTTTACACTAATGATTTTTTATAGTGTGACTTTGAATACCAACAGTAAAAACAAATGGTCCCAGTTAGCTAGTTAGTCTATCCCAGCAGCCCTTATTCAATCAACACCAGCTAAGTATTTAAATGGAATTCGATCTTAATTCGATTAACACCAGCAATAATATCATAATAGATCTAAAATCGGTACTTTATTTCCTCAGTACATTATGGATTAGCATTGACTTAATTATTTTCTTACCCTTTTGACTTGAGTAAGCAATATTACAAACTCCATATGACAACTAGCATGTTTGTCTAAATATTTACAATAAAAACACTTCTACACACACTGTGTGGAATTTTTTCTTCAAATTTAATTTGAACCACCCTCGAGGTGTGGCCTGTTTAATAAGAAATAATAATTTAGGTTGGTTCATCGGTTTTTGAATAATCGGTGAACATAAATGAACAATACCCGTCGAAAATAGAACCTCCTAGTTTTTGAAATCGGTTAAAAAGGTGCCGCATTTCGTGGTATAATTGGCGCCAAAATATCGTATCACATTACTTAATTTTATTTTAATACTGAAAGAAAATTTATCTTTCCATCTATATCTATATATAAATAAAAATGGCGTAATACGTTTTCTCGTTTATAAAAACAAAATAAAGTGCCATCTATTAGTCGACAGGGCCGTGTTTGTTGATAAGCAATTTGCAACACTCTCAGACCAAGTTGGCGTCAAGAGAATAAACTTGATACCGTTATAATTTGCCAGGTCGCAATGGACACGGAGTGATAGCGGAACGATTGCAGGAGATTGCAGCAGAAGAAGGAGTAGAAGATAAGGACAATCACGTACCTTTATTCTGCATCTTTAATACCGCTTTGAAAAAATATAACAACAATACCTTTTTACCTTTCTGTTTGTTTTTCTTTAAAGGACTGCCTTGGCCAGCGCTTAGAACAGTTTTTGTTGTTTGAATTTTGTCGTAAATACATAAATAATAAGATCTATTCGCAACTTAATTCCGGCCACTAGACTGAATAAGCGCTGGCCAGGGCAACATAAAGAAATGGTATACTTATGTCTATTCTGTATCGTTACTTATCAATTTCTAAATAAATATTACGTATATTTTAAATTATGTGCATTTCTTTTTTATTTATATCTTTTGTGTCTTTCATGTTGTTTAATTGTGAAATTAAAATAATGTCAAACGAGCTGTGGTGGTGGGCCTACCCAAGCCCTCGGTACTGAAATTACATTTTCCTCTTTATACTTGATAGAGACATGCTGCAGCTATACAATTGTAGAGCGAATGGGTTGGCTCAATCAGAGAAAGACCATGCTCTCACAGAACACCAGCGTAAAATAGCAGATTAAAGCTGCTGTGTTTCGTATGGTAAGTGCAGCATGTGAGACACTAAATATTAGTTCTCAGGAGTGATAACGCATCTATGAAAAATATATTTTGATTCGTAATCAAGAATTGATGTAAATGTCACAGGCCACAGCTCCACAGTTCCACTTACTATCAGGTGGACTGTGTGCTCGTTTGTTTACCTAAAAAAAATATCAGCCCGTAAAAAATCACTCATGGACATGGGCCTCGACAATAAGGGAGGATTTGACTTTCTTGTTACGATTAATCGACGGATTTACTTCAGTAACAGACTTCTCGCACAAATTGACTACAAAATGAATTATACGATTGACAATAAAAATGAATTTTGATTCGTAATCGAGGTTCAATGTGGTTTTTATCGGCCACATCATCCACTCACCGCAAGGTAGACTATGTGGTCGGTTATCGTAAAAAAAAATTAAGGCACGACTAAGAGCAATGACGTATAGAATGCGTACATCAATTACGACTTCTCAGTTCTCACGTTCTGTGCCTGGTGTCATTTTGGCCTTTGCTACTTTTTGTCTATATGATCAAAACGTGATGGGAATGAGCATCTTCCTGTTAACAACTCAAAATAATAAAAAACTGCGGTTGGCTACCTCCGTGGCATAGCAACTATGGCAAATCTCCCTATGGGGGAGGCCTATGTTCAGCACTGAAATTTATAGGTAGGGTGTAATGGATGGGGATAGGGTGAAATAAATTTTGATTGATCGCTGGCTTGACTAATTATTTTCCGATATTACCCTTTTTTATAGAAAGAGGTGATAAACGAGCACTCAGTCCACCTGATAGCAAGTGGATGCTAATCGAAAGATAAATGCACATCTACATTTATCTTCGATTAATAATCAAAATGCAGATGCGTTGTCACCCCTGAGAACTAAGATGGAATGCCTTGTTTTCAGTAAAAAGGGTCTCCGGTTCTCTACACTCACCATACGAAACAGCAGCATTAAGCTGCTATTTCACGTTGGTAATATGTCACGACCCTTCCCGGTCGAGCCAACCCATTCGTACTACAACCGTAATATTTATAGCTACAGTATGGCTCTACCGCGTACAAAAAAAAACGTCAATAATTTAAAATTAAAAATTTTGAACAACCGACTTCAATATAAATTATTAAGAATAACTCAAAAACTATTGGTCAGACATTGATCAAATTTATATGGGGCCACATGAGAAGCACCTGCTTTCAAATAAAAAAAGAATCATCGTTTCACCCAGAAATAAGTTATGAGGTAACTCATATAAACAAAAGAATATACAGTCGAATTGAGTAACTCCTCTTTTTTAATGTCGGTAGAAAATAGAATTTACTGTGGGAATCTGGCGCATCACTGTATATACAGGCACATATCACCGTGAGTAACTTGCGCATGAAGGATTCCATGAGATTCAAGCCAATTTGTTTATATTATATTATTGGATATTCTTAAGATGAAGAGATTTGTAAATAAATAATCTAAATAAATTAAATTTGTTAGGTGGTAGGACTTCTTTTTTTTAGATAGGAGCCAGTCTGTTAATCGCTTATCGACTTATGTGAATCCGACAGAATATCAGCGCTGCGGTTACTCTGTTGCTGTAATAACCACGTACCACGTACAATATACGTGGTAGAGCCATGCTGCAGCTATATTAGTAGTATAGTTGTAGCACGAATGGGTCGGCTCGACCGGGGAAGTACCACGCTCTCACAGAATACCAGCGTAAAATAGCAGCTTAACACTGCTGTGTTTCGTATGGTGAGTGTAGAGAACCGGAGACCCTTTTTACTGGAAAAGAGGCATTCCATCTTAGACCTCACGGGTGACAACGCATTTTGATTCTTAATCAAGGATAGACGTAGATGTCTATGGGCCACAGCAACCACTTACCATCAGGTGGACTGTGTGCTCGTTTGTCATCCTATCATATAAATAAAAAAGAACTTACAGTCCACCTGATGGTTAGTGGCTACAGCAGGGTAAATGGCTGCACTAGGACAAGGACAGCTGCAGATGCGACTACACATTCGTTGTCACCCCTGAGGACTAAGATGGAATGCCTCACCGCTTTTAATTATTCTGACTCTCTATATCGTTTTTTATTCATCAAAGTGTTTCATATATATATATATATATATATATATATATATATATATATATATATATATATATATATATATATATATATTTTATTTCTTATTTGTACCATTAAACCAATAATTTAAAATTTAAGATTTCGTACAGCCGACTTCAATATAAGTTACTAAGAATAACTCAAAAACTATTGGTCAGACATTGATCTTTATATGGGACACTAGAAGTACCTAGCTTTCAAATAAAAAAAGAATCGTCGAAATCGGTTCACGCAGTAAAAAGTTATGAGGTAACACACATAAAAAAACACATACAGTCGAATTGAGTACCGTCTCCTTTTGGGAAGTCGGCAGAAAATGGTTTGTATTGGTACTCACATTCGCAACTAACGCACTGCTTAAGATTAAATAATTAGTTAATTTGTTAAAAGTAATTAAAAATATACATTTAACTATACCTCTGTTGTGTAAGTGGTAAGCACCCATTTGCAATTCTTACGTGGGACGTTCCGGAATTGAGCGCCACCGACGTGAGCGCTCATTGCTTTTGTTGAGGAATCTGTTCTACTACCGAACCGAAATACAGCAGTTCAAGATCTGCTGTTAGACAACAGAAGTAGGTAAGAGGGTGGTATCGTGGACGGACTCCTAGATAGAAATAAGTCCTACATCCTAGTTAAAGAACTATGACTAATATCCCCACTACGAGGCAATCTATGTGTGAGCCCTATAATCAACAGTAGACATAGGATGGACTGTGATGATAATGACGAAAGTTCCTATCAACCTCATGATCTACCATCGTTTCTAATAGTTAAACCTAAACCGTTAATTAATATTTTAAACCGAGTTTTACCATAATATCATTGATATGCAGAAGAAACAGCGTTAGTGATTGCACACAGCCTTGTGGAACACCAGCGTTAATAGGCTTGTAGTCGGAGCATGCACCGTCTAGAACGATCTTGATGCTCCGATCTGCAAGGAAGGTGGTGATCCAATTGCACAATTTCTCGGCAAACCCATAGGAAGGGAGCTTCGAAAGAAGCGCTTTGTGCCAAACCCGATCGAAGGCCTTCGCAATGTCCAAACTAACGGCCAACGCCTCCCCCTTGGACTCTACTGCCTCTGCCCATCTATGGGTCAGGTAGACCAGAAGATCACCAGCTGATCGACCCCGACGAAAACCGTATTGGCGATCACTAATCAGCTGATGATCCTCACGGTACCGCATGAGGTGGCAGTTTATAACGGATTCCATTATTTTGGAGAACAAGGAGGTGATGGCGATAGGCCTGTAGTTGGACGGGTCTGAGAGGTCGCCTTTTTTAGGGATCGGGTGGAAAAAAGCTGTCTTCCATTAATTCGGGACTACGCCTTGGGAGTAGGAGTACCGGAAAAGACGCGTTAGGACCGGTGCCAACTCTGGAGCACACGTCCTCAGCACAATTGGGGGGATTCCGTCAGGCCCACTCGACTTCTGGATGTCCAGGGAGAGGAGTGCTTTGCGAACCGAGCGCTGTGAAAACAGCACATCCGGCATGGAGCACTCACACCGCGGGATGGTCGGCGGTGTTTTCCCCCCATCGTCAAGAGTCGAGTTGGACGCAAAAAGGGAGGCTAAAAGGTCGGCTTTCTCTTTTGCGGCGTGGGCCAGTGAGTCGTCCTCCCTGTGCAGAGATGATAGTGAAGGCTTACAGAAATTCCCTTCTGGTCTCTCGCCAAGGCTGTCCCGAAGGAAGGCGAACTAGCTTCTCGCCAATTCTGCCTATGTGCTCTGACTTTGCCTTGGCAATAACTCTTTTGAAGGACCTGGAGGCAAAATTATACTTCTTTTTAAGTGTGCTGGTGTTTACTGCGTAATGCAGTCTTACAGGAGCGACCAAACCAAGGCTGAGATCTGCCTCCGATGGGTACCACAGATGATGGAATAAATAGTTCCATTCCCTGTAGCACCACATCAGTGACAGAGTCAGCAACAGCGCTGGGATCATCCGGCGAGAAGCAAATCCGCCTCCATGGGTAGGATGCAAAGAAAGACCGCATTCCGTCCCAATCCGCCGACCTGTAATGTCAAACACGGCGGCAACCTGCAGAACGCAACCGCGAGGGGAGCGTGCGTGGCACCACACTCCGGATCAGACAATGGTCCGAAGAGCCGAAAGGAGCATCGACGGAAACCTGATATCCGTCCGGATGAGAGGTCAGCAGAAGATCCAACAGGGAAGGTGTATGATCCTCCACATCTGGAATCCGCGTAGGCGAAGTAACCAGTTGTGTCAGACCATATGCCAAGGCAAAGTCATAAACAGATCTCCCCGCATGATCGGTTAAACGTGAACCGGGCCATTCGGCGTGGTGGCCGTTAAAATCGCCAAGGATCACGATCTATGCGGATGGGACCTGTTGTAGCAAGGAATCTGTAGCCATTTGGACGTGGTCGATGAGTCGGTCTGTTTCGGCATTACCACTATGGGACCTATAAAGGCACCCGTAGACGCGCGGTTGGTGGTCACTGTCTACGCATAGCCAAAGGATGGACAGGTCCGAACCTTCAAGACTGCCGAGGCGTCGAGAATAGATGTCCTCACTGTTATACACGCAAGCCCCAGCCCGAGGCTCAAAGGAGTGAAGTCCCCTGATGTTGCAAAAATTCACGGATAGCGTGGCAGGGGTCGCCTTGGTATTGTTGCTCAGTTTGCCCCGAGCAGTTATGTTTTTGAGCGGAATTTTGCCCCCCCCCCCCCCCCCCCCCCCAGAATACGCGGGCCAGCCTGAGCACCCACGCTCAGGAGTGGAATAACATGGTCGTGGATGCTCAGCGAGGGATTCTCCAGGGGTGCTGGTACCCTTCTGGGGTAGTCTTTGGTGCGATTCCGCTACCATGTTGATGGGGGGGGGGGGATTAGGCCTCCGGCCACCTGCACTAACCAGACGAAACGCAGAAGCAGAGCTTCTACTTCACGCCGGTATTCTGTGAGGTCGTGGTACCAATCCGGCTCGAGCCGGCCCATACGTGCAACAGCAAAAACTGCTCCGTGGCTCTACCACCGTTCCCGTTTTTTTTTTCAGATCATGTTTGTCGTACTTTTTTATAGGAGAGAGGGCAAATGAGCATGCGGTTCACCTGAAGGTGACTACCGCCGCCCATGAACAACTGCAACACCAGGGGAACCAGGGGAATGGCAGATGCGTTGCTGGCCATTAAACGCAGTAATCTGGACAGATAACAAAGAATACATAAGGAGTACTGTCAACGACATTTCTCGTAACCATTATCGGTTTTATCGCGGCTAGGCACTCCATTTATGTCAGTTTCCGGATATTTAATTTATTCACAAATTGTTGATTTCTTACTTTTTGTTTTTATACTAGAATACAAAATAATTTTATGATTGAGGTGTTGTTGATATTTTTAATATGGCTTGATTGGAATTACAAAAATGTATTTCTGTGATGTTCAGAAGTTGTAAATACTGGTAGAGCAATAAAAAAAAAAAATTCTCGCCATGTTTTTCATTATCGTTACTATATATGTCCATCATCATTTCGATGATGAGGACGTATATAGTAAATAATAAGCAATTGTTCATTACTTATATGAAATATAATCCTGTAACCCGTGTCACTGTAACATGTTGGGACAAGCAATAAAAATAGAACTAAATAACAATTTTGGAATGGCGATTCTCTTACAAAACGTTCTCTTTAGAAAACGATCCTTTTAATTTCCGAGAAATATCACCATCAGAGGACTATTTGAGGACTACATATATTGTAACAGATTTAATTAACTTTAAACTACATGACATTTTTGTGCATTAGACAAAATTTTTCGTAAACATGGTAACCCTATCAGTGAGCAACTAGAGACCGGGGTCAGCAGTTATTTATTATTGTCCGACGAGTATCATTGATATCTGAGAAACCAGTCCGAGCTCGATTACCGGCTAAGAAACAGTCAGTCATGTATCGACTAGGATTTTTGCTTCACTTGACAATTATTTGTACCTCGTTCGCTTTAAACCTCGACTACTTAGACCCTACAATATTACAGACGAGAACTTCCCCTAGGGTACAAGAAGATGCTGCAACCGCAATAATAAATAAATACGTTAGCCAAGTGACAGTTAAAGTTGATCCTCTTTTGTTTAACAATAAGAAAGATGTATTTTCTCTGCGTACATTCGAGGGTCAGTTGCATATTAGAGCAAGCACTGGCGTCGCTGCAGTTTGGGGCTTCAACTACTATTTGAAGAAGTATTGCAAGAGCCAAATTGCGTGGCAAGTTCAGAATGTCGTGATCCCTGGAACACTTCCAGAAGTCGACGAGGTTGTGGAAGCAAGTGATAGGTTCCGCTACTACCAGAATGTTTGTACAGCATCTTACAGCTTTGTGTGGTGGAATGGCGATCAGTGGCTCGCACACGTGGAATGGATGGCGCTTAATGGCATCAACTTGGCGCTGGCACCAGTCGCCCAAGAAGCGGTTTGGGCTCGCATTTATAGAGAAATAGGCATGACTGATGATGAAATAGACGAATACTTTACCGGTCCAGCGTTTCTCTCTTGGCTACGAATGGGCAACGTGCATGGATGGGGAGGCCCGCTGCCAAAGTCGTGGCACGACCGTCAAAAGAACATTCAAGACAGTGTAATCGACCTTATGTTCCGTCTTGGCATTGTTCCTGTTCTTCCAGCCTTCAACGGCCACGTTCCGAGAGCTTTCGCAAGATTATATCCCAATATTTCTTTTTATTCGGTGGATACATGGAATAAATTCAGTGCTGATTATTGTTGTGGATTGTTTATAAACCCTCGAGAAACTCTGTTCAAGGAAATTGGTGAAAAGTTTTTAAAAGAGATGAACGTCGGCATGGGCACGGGCCACATTTATACAGCTGATCCCTTTAATGAGATTCAAATACAACCGTGGTCTACATCTCTTGTTCAAGATACCGCGTCGGCTATATTTTCTGTGTTGTCAAGATTCGACAGTAGTGCAGTATGGCTTGTTCAGAACTGGATGTTCGTGCATAACCCTGCTCTGTGGCCATTGAGGAGAGTAAAGTCATTCTTAACGTCCGTTCCAAATGGTCGAATGTTGATACTAGATCTTCAATCCGAGCAATGGCCACAGTATAATCATTATCAGATGTATTACGGACAACCTTTCATTTGGTGCATGTTGCATAATTTCGGTGGTACTTTAGGCATGTTCGGTAATATGCAAGCGATTAATAGAGACGTCTACGATACGAGGTCAAACACAAACAGTACCATGATTGGAATTGGGTTAACCCCCGAAGGTATTAACCAGAATTACGTTGTATATGACTTGATGCTCGAAGCAGCATGGCGTAAGAAGCCAGTGCAAAACCTTGACAACTGGGTAGCAGACTATGGGGAAAGAAGATATGGTTGCAACGCGACGTCTAGCGCTTGGAGGTATTTATTGAAGAGCGTGTATAACTTTGACGGACTCAATCGGATTAGAGGTAAATATGTCGTAACTCGACGGCCTAGTTTGAGAATAAAACCATGGGCTTGGTACAAAAGCAGCGATCTGTTCAACGCATTCAAGAAGTTCGTTTTCGCGGCTAACTCTGGATGTGACTCGCCTGGTTTCTATCACGATCTAGTTGATGTTACTAGACAAGCTTTGCAGTATCGAGCTGATCAACTCTATATGGATATTTTAAAAGAGCGATCTTCTAATGCGTTGTTTTTTAATGCTACCATTGTCCGGTTTATCGACCTAATGAACGATATGGAGACGATTTTAGCAACCAATAATGATTTCATGTTATCTAGCTGGTTGGCGGCAGCTCGCGATGCGTCTAATGGTATGTCTTTCTTTGAATTAAACGCTCGGAACCAGATAACACTATGGGGCCCTAATGGAGAAATAACTGACTACGCTTGCAAACAATGGGCTGAGGTCTTCCATTATTATTACACACCAAGATGGTCCTTATTCTTGTCTTTGGCGTTAGACGCAAAAGTAAGAAACGAAACCTTCGATGAAAGGGGCGCTCAGAAAGTTGTCAGGACTTCTGTTGAGGAGCGATTCCTGACCGTTGGTATTGACCAATTGAGTCCAATAAACGCCACCAAAACAATAGCGTCAATACTTTACGAGAAGTGGGCATTTGCGTCAGACCTTATCGATTTACCTTTGAACGTCATAAGAGCAAGCCCTCAGAGGAGGACAACGCTCGCCGATGTAGACTCTACTGAGAGCGAATTAGTAGATCGGCCGACAGTGTTGCAACTGCATTCTACAACGCCTACTAGTTAACTTTGGAAATACGCATTTCAACCAGTTCTCTTTTGCATATGTATTTCGACTCCTCCCTCCCCATCTATTGTGCTACTTGTATCCTTTTTTTCTCCTATTGTATCCTAACATCGTCTACTGTTATTTATCGTCATAAGAAAAAATAAAACTTTTCAAATTGAATCAATATGAAATATAAGTATAATTTAATTAGTTTACCTTGGTTATGAAGAATGCAATTTTATAATTTTAACTTTCAGAATATAAAATGTGTTCTAAATTTCACAATATGTTAGCAAACCGGGTTCGATTCTCGCCGACACTAAGTGCTGATTTTTCACGAGCTCGGCGGAGAAGGAAAACATCGTCAGGACACCTGTATGTCTGATGAATAAAAATATTTTGAAGGCTTGTGAAGTTCGCCAACCCGCAATGGAGCAGTGCGGTATGAAAATTTCTCCGTAACCCTCTTAGAAATAACGATTGTATTTGCCCAGCATTGTGACGTTTAAAGTCTGTAACTGTTCTTTACTTTAATTTTAAGCGCGATAAAATTATTTGTCTTCAATGTTTAATTTGTGTTAATATAAGAAATAATTATACAATAAACATGTTAATAATTTTAGGTATATTTTTCATTGATTTTTCTTTGAAATTATCATAAATGCATCATCAGCATAAATATAAAGCAGCAGTACGAACGCCAAGAAAACTTTTGAAAGGGTAAAAAATTACAACTTTTATGATAGTTTCTCTAAACATGTTTTACAATTGATTTTATTGTAAGATTGATAATGAATAATATTTATAATAATAATAATAATTTCAGACTAATTATCCATATTTGTTAAAAATTATAATCTTAATACCTATAACATTAAAGAAAATTAAAAATAATAAATATAAACATTAAATAAAATTACAATTAAAATACTACTCTAGGTCGTGGCGTGTCTAATTTACAGTACCTATGCAGATTTATCCAACGCCCTAACATTTGTGAATCCCATCTGTCCGCTAGTACACTGAGAATGATGTTGGTGCTCGTCCGCATGCGATTCAGCATGGAGGCACATCTTTTGCTCATTATGGCTTCAAACCCATCAACATGAGCCTCTGCAAACATGCCAGAGGCGCTACAATACCGAGGCAACCCCATTATAATTCTCAACGCATTATTGTATTGGACGCGCAGATCATTGTATGCCCTCCGTGTATAGTTAATCCACAGGCTGCATGTATAGAAGGATTGACAATATGCTTTGAAAAGCGTAACCTTAACCTGTTTTGTGCAGCGTGCAAACCTGCGAGCCAACATATTACATCGGACAGCCAACGACCTGCGCTCCCGCTCTATATCAGTATTATCAGTTATGTTTTCGGTGACCCAGTGACCCAGGTACTTAAACTTCTCAACTCTATTCAGACTACTACCACAGAGTGTGACATTTGGCAGTGAGTAGCACTTGCAGCCTGATTTGAAAATCATTATTTCACTTTTCTTTGTGTTGTACTTGAGCCCGTGGGCCGCGGCGTAAGCCTCACATATCTTTATCAGTCTCTTCAATGCACCGATTGATAGGCTTAGCAAGACCATGTCGTCTACATAGCTTATATTATTGATGCATACACCGTCAATATGACATCCGACTTTGGTGCTACTAAGCTCTTCGATCAATTGATTCATATATAGGTTGAAGAGACGTGGAGAGGTCAACCCACCCTGTCTTACGCCACACTCTAAAAAGTACTCTTTGGAAAGTGTTTTAGCCCATCCCACACAATTTTTCTGATTATTGTACCAATATTTTAATAGAGATACAATCTCTTGGGGTAAACTAGTGTCATGTTGTAGCTTTTTCCACAGTTTATTGTACGATATCATATCAAATGCTTTTGATAGTTCCAAATAACAGGCATATACCGGTGTTTTTCTTGCTGTTTAATATTGTACAGTCTCTTTGAGGCACAATATAGCACTTTCTGTTGAAAGTTTAGGCATAAAGCCAAATTGTGCATCGTTAAGCTTCAAGTGCTTACTCAATTGTTCGTCAAGCAGACTGTCCAGAACTTTAGCAATAACAGTGGCTAGTGAAATTGGCCTGTAATTGGATATATCTGAGAAGCCTCCAGTTTTGTTTTTTATGATAGGTATAACAATTGTTCGTAATAATTTTTCAGAGAGATAGCCATGGGCAACACACAAGTTAAAAAAACATAGAAGTACTCTTGGTAGGTGTACTCCAGTATACTGCAAGTGCTCAATGCTGAGGTTATCGTGGCCCGGAGATTTTCCTGGCACCATGTTTTAATGACGGAAGCGACGTCCTTCAAAGTAAACCTAATTCTCAACTCCGAGACATGGCCCTTCACAGCTTGCACATGTGATGACGCTTGTCCTAAGGGCAATCCTATTCTGAAATGTTGCTGAAACAAATCGGCTATCTTGCTGGGTTCATGCACACTCGCAACATACTCACTGGAAGGCTCGGTTTATGGTTCAATTTATTTGTTGTGCTCCTGAACTTTATAAAATTATTCTTTGAATGATATTCCGCAATGTTGTCCATTTTTATCTGTGAGTCGTTATCCTGACACCATTTTAATTTAGACTTTAAAATGCGCCTCGAATCACACATATAATTGTACATATCACTTGAAGTAGGTTTACCACTTTGCACCTCTTGAAAGCACAATCGAGCCCTCCTGTGAGCCCCACTTTTTTTTATAGGATAAGGGTGACAAACGAGCACACAGTCCACCTGATGGTAAGTGGTTGCTGCGGCCCATAGACATCTACATCTATCCTCGTTTGCGAATCAAAATGCAGATGCGTTGCCACCCGTGAGGACTAAGATGGAATGCCTCATTTCCAGTAAAAAGGGCCTCCGGCCACCTGCACTCACCGAGCGAAACGCAGAGGTAAACCTCTACTTCACGCTGGTATTCTGTGAGGTCGTGGTACCACCCCGGTTTGAGCCGGCCCATCCGTGCGACAGCAAAAGCTGCCGCGTGGCTCTACCACTGTTAAAACCACTTACTTGTTCTTACTTGCTCTACCACTTACTTGTTTATTATGACCTGTTACGTAATGCCCTTTCTTTATCTTCCTAACATTGTAACTTCGTTCGTCATCATACATTTTCTTCAATAACATTCTATGACTTATATTACAACACATGTTATCAGACCAATATGTGAATTCTACAATAAAATCTATTTCACGTAATCGGGAATGACAAAAAGCATGAAATTTATTTATTTGTTCAGCATCACGCTATCGCCAAATTATATTATATTTAAAATTTCTAACAGGTAATAGTACTTTATGTTTCACTTAATTAAAATTGCATTCTATTGTCAGTGGAAAATGATCGGACCAGTACGTATCATATAATATACAAAAACTTACTACAGACAGCTGTGCGGCTGCCATCACCACACAATGATCAAGCTATCGGCGGCTACCATGTGCTTCACTCACAAATGTATATGAGCTAGACGGTAATAGATCTATATCGATGCATAACCAAGATTGTTCTTTACAAAACGTTAATAAGTCTTTTGCGAACAGCTCACCAGGATGCGCATTAAAATCACCCAACATAAAAACGTATTCTACGTTATGACTCTCGACTATAGCACACATTTCACTGAGACATTCCGTAAATTCAATTAAGTTTTCACTCAAATCAATAGGCATATAAACAGAGAAGAATAGTAAAGAGCGATCGCATATCATTACTTCTGTAGCGGCTAGTCGCACACTGTTGTATTTTATCACATTCACTGTGGAGAACACATGTTTCCTCCATAACAGGGCCACACTCCCATATGGCCTTCCTCGAAGTACACTCAATGATGTGTCTACCGCTGAGGTCCCAGTAAAGGAACAGTTATCATCTATGCTCCTCACGTAAGACATATCATGTGGTAATAGCCAGGTTTCCTGAAGCGCTATTACATCTGCTACTTGACATAGTCTTCTAACACATTCAACCGATCTAACAACATTGTTACAATTAAAACTAGCAATTTTAGAATGACAATTGATCATTTTTTTTATAGTTTCTCGTTCGCCATCAAGGCACCCGCTACTTTTTGATCCCTGTGCCTGAATTCGACAAAACGGCGATAAGTTATCCTTGAGGGCCAGAGATCCTCTTGCATAAATATATATAATTTACTTTTGGGTACAAAAACTTTCAAAAGATTCATATTCCTTATCTATTGTCATGTTCATTTTCTTAACACTAACATCAATGTTAGTTTTACTTTTAATGTAATTAGTGATGTCATACACAGTAACATCCTTCGCCACATTATTCCTTTATCACTCGTGTTGTGGCTTTGTGAAAATATTCACTACCCCATTTCGTGAGAGACGTAAGAGACGACTGATGGAAATGGAACTGAGGATAGGCTTGCCAATTATCTTGCCAAGCGTGACAACTATGGCCAAGTCCCCACTATATTAAGTAATTTAGTAGTAATAGGGGAGGGCCGTGGTAGTTCAGATGGTTAGCGCTCGCTTTAAATTTCACAGTACACGAGCAACCCGGGTTTGATCCCCACCGGCGCCAATGAAATTGTTAATTGAAATTTTAAGTGCTGATTTACCACGTGCTCGGTGGTGAAGGAAAACATCGTGAGGAAACCTGCATGTCTGAGAAATAAGAAAATAAAATGCGAAGACATGTGAACGGCGGACATTTCCTTGCCCTAAAACCCTCGGAAATGAGGGGAGGCCTGTGCCCCGCAGTAGGACGTATATATAGGCTGTAACTTTAGGGGAGGTGTATGTTTAGCAGTGCACTTTCATGGGCTGTAATGGAAGGATGGAAGGATAGGTCAAAAAGATATCGATTAATTTATACATGGTAGAGCCATGCGTTGTATAACTGTAGCTCGAATGGGTCGGCTCGGGCGTGGTAGGATCACACTCGTGTGCACAATGTGTTTCATATGGTGAGAGAACCGGAGACCCTTTTTACTGGTAACGGGCGATTCCATGGTGATTC